GTGTGACTTGTAAACGACTTGATCGATATTATTCAAGGTCAAAACGTTGCGGTATCTTTGTTCTTACTTATTTCATTTAGGTGGTTTTTGGAGTTAGCAGTTGACAGTCGTGGTTGTGGTGTATAACTATTCTCTTATCGGTACCAGATAATGAGCTGCGTGCCGTTACTTATACCAAAGTCATCCATAAAATGTACAGATAATTAATGTATATTGTTCCTGTCTTAAAAGTGAAAGGGACGCAAGTAACATCTACGTGGGCTTACAACAATATTGGTAGAGAAACAAGTCTTTTCAATCTATCCGTACTCAATACCTCTATTGATCGCTGAAACATCAAATATATAGGGCGCCCAATTGAATTGAATTCGCCGACTTGACTGCAGGGTAATGAACGAGCAGTAACGGCGAGCGAGCAATTGAGTGATCTCACGCAAATCAAACTCAATTAATGCTTACGAATATTATTGATACACTTATTTTATGTTATATGGTTTTTTAATCAACGAATATAAGTACAATAAGTAATTTATCCATAGGTAAAAAACACAAGAATAGTTTTTTTTTACTTTAAAATTACAAGTTGTGTATGCCATTGACAACGTGGAGACTTAGTGCATCCACAAAACGGCACTTTCTTCGTCCGCCGCTCGTCGACCTTGAATGAAATTGTCTCCGCGTCTGTTATTTACTCTCTATCATTAAGGTAGTCTGTGGTTAAAAATAAACACGGACCTCGGGCCAGTTACTGATTCACACCTATGTTTATATATATATAATTCTTCTGTACGTGTATGTCACTGAACTCCTCATGACGGCTGGACCGATTATAATGACATTTTTTGTGTGTCTTCAATTCGATTCGAGAACGGTTTTGATTCACAATTCGTTTCTTTTGTCCTTTTTTATTTACAAGTTGTTGTCGGATTTAAGTAGCGTGTACAGGGCAATGTCTGTGGGGTCCGCTAGTTATATCATATCTCGCATTCGATATTCTATACCGAGATTATTACATAGATACATTATATTTGCTCCTTGTACACGCCACCCTTAATTTCTAAAACATTTCGATTGTATCGCGTTTGGTTGACGAATTGACGTCACACGATGCATAGTTGTGCGTAATTCATGTTGAACTTTTGAACTGTGGTTCGTTGTTGAGTTCATCGAAAAGAGAAAAAAGAAACGATCGCTTTGAAATTTAAAAAAAAAAAGGATCATTTCAAACAGTTTGTATTATTATTAGTAGTTCATTATACGCTTCGTATAAAGAATTTCCATAAATACCGTCTAACGTCAGATTGGGTTCGACATTTCGCTGTTCTGGATATAATAAAAAAAAATGAAAAGCTTACGTCAGCCTAACCAAATGCTGTCAAATTTAAATTTGATGTACATATTTAAAATCGCTCTCGACTCGAATCGTCGCTACGTCTGAATAACTGTTTTCACAATATGATAAAATTAAGGATACTGGAACCATCTAATTTCAATTTCGTTTAAGTTAAGTCTTGTGGCTTATCTGAGGTTGTACACACACAGAAAGCTAATAGAAGGATGCACACCGAATTCACTATTAAACAAAAATTATTATAATCACTTCTATTACAAATAACTCAACTCACTAGGTCGAAGCAACTCAAGTCAACGTGTTACCTCTATCACTCCAAAACATCAATTGCTCTCGACTGACAACAGAACAGACTTAAATTGTTGTAAAATGTTAATAACCCAATTTTTGTGTATGCTAACACTACGTGACACCCTTTCTAAGATCATATTTACATGAAATTTTGGCAAGTGAGCAGACGCTTCACCTTATGATAAGTTAGTATCGACCCCTACAGTAAAAGGTGATACACACTAATTAAAAAGTTATAGCATCCTGCTAAAAGTACGTGTGTTGTATGTTGTGTGTTGCCATGGACTTGCACCCTTATTTGTTATTAGAGTTCCGTACCTTAAAGGGTAAAAAAAGGAACCCTTATAAGATCGCTCTGCTGTCCGTCTCTGTCCGTGTGTCACAAATGCTTTTCTCAGGAACGGGTAGACCTACCAAGTTGAATTATACCAGATACTGAGGTCTATAGTCCCTATTAGGTGTATAAAAATCAAGGTCCTGAGTCAATACGATAAAAAGATATGGGCAAATTTTGATTCGCGACTACAAGTTATTATTTTCAAGAGAGAAGAAAGGGAAGAATGGTAAAGGAAGTGGAATTAAAGAAAAATTAATTGGAGAGAATGAAACCACACTATATATACGATAGTGATACGTTAAGGAAAACAAGTTTAAATCGGCACAATTATTATCACTTATAATCTTTCAATGCCACCGAAGCAAAACCTGAACTATGCAAAATTATTTGTTAATTAGCAATGGAAATGGAAGAATCTTAGATATCGCTTATCGTGATGCTTTATAAAATGCTCGTTTAGGCCAATTCAAATAATCAAAGAATTATAGTTTTTTTATATGAGAATGTGTGAAGGAGAAACGAGCTGGCGGTTCACCTGATGTTAAGTGAATACCGCCGCCCATGAACATCTGCTACACCTGAGGGTTCCAGATACGTTGACAACCGTTTGAAAATTGGGCTCCGGCCACCTGACTCCGGACACCAGACGAAACGCGAAAGTATTATACTTTCACTTCACACCGCTCTTCTGTGAGGTCGTGGTACTTACCTGGATGGACCTGCCCATTAGTGCAACAGCGAAGACTGTTGCGTGGCCACACCACAGTTATTAATAAGGTTTCGATTTCGATTATTTATGATTGCGTAGTTGAGGTGACAGTTTCAAATCATAATATTGTGCAGCAATGGATCTGTATCCCGTTTGGGCCAAAGGTTTGCAACAAGGCCTGTCATGTGGGAGGGAGTACTACAAGTAACGATGTGTTATTTTGTGTTGCATTTAATATTTGATCGACTGAACACACCAGACGAAATGAATCTCCGCATATTAAATATTGTTTCTTCGTGAATTTCCTCATCCTGCATCATTCGCGTTTAACGAACCCGGAAGATAATGTCCCAAAAAGCAGGTGTGATTGAAAGAATTATCCGTACTAGTATTTTAAGAGCTATTTTTTGAGTGGCAAGAAATGTAGAAGTGTGTGAAGAGTAGAGAAGAAGAAAAAAAGTGCGAAGTGTTTACACACTTCCACTTCACAACGATCTTCTATAAGGTCGTGGGGTATTTATCCGGATGGATCTGCCCATTCGTGCAATAGCCGAAATAGTTGCGTGGCCCTACCACAGTTAAAATACATGTGTGTGTGTGTGTGTGTGTGTGTGTGTGATTGGACATTTATGATAGGACATTTATGATATTAGTTAATAAACAGTATTTTATATTAGCTTCTGATATGTAGAGACGTATATTAGATTTATGGACCCGTCTTATGCTGTGGCTGGAATCAGAGTTTAAAACGTAGCGGCGTCTATTAACGAGTTGTCGGCTTTTATTGATCCTTAAGAGTGAAAGAACTGTCTGCTATATGATAGGCTTCTTGCGTTTGGATCGAAGTGTGCTCGGTGAACATGAATTGCAAATGGAATAAGCAAGTGCACGTATTGTTATTGTTAATGCACTATGTAAATTCCGTTAGATTCGGTTTCGCAATTACGATTACGGGGCAACTTTTGGCCCGCTTCCAAGCCGATTTGTACAAACTGTATGAATTGCTGCGGTGTTACGTTGTTTCGTTGCTACGGATTGAGAACAAACTTCAGCGTTCTTTAACCGGACGGGGCAGATAGTCGAGTAAAGCGCTTTCATCGTTTTCCCACTCACAGTCACAGGGATCTCTGCCTGATTCTGTCCGTTTGATGTAAGGATATTTAAAATGCATTTTTAGGGACCCTATTACTAAAACTCCGCTGCTTTACTGTCTAACTGTCCGTCTGTCACCAGGCAATATCTCACGAACCGTGATAGACAGTTGAAATTTTCACACGAGTTGTATTTCTGTTGCCGCTATAACAACAAATACATTAATTTAATAATATTAAATTATTTATTTTAATAATATTTAAGTGGGGAGGGGGGGGGGGGCATGCAACATATATGTTTGGACAAAAACAAGCGCTACGAGATTAAAAGCACTGCCCGAATTTTAAGCCATCTCTGTTTTTACAAAATTTCAGCTTTTACAATTTGCGAGTGAATCCTTGTTTTAAAGCTGACTAATTTTATAGTACACCTGAGCAACAAGGAAGGATTTTTATTATTTTTTCTTAATGAGGTAGCAAGGCCACAGACCGGTATCAACATGCTGTAGAATCAACAAAACAAGCAATGACCTAGATCTAAGCGGTTTGAAGTAATGTACTCTGTAAATAACTGACATTAGAATATATTACGCGTAAACATTATGTGTAAGTCAGCACGGGAACCACCACAATCAACTAATTCTTGCAATTGAATTAACCAAACAAATTCTTCATGTCTGTATGGTTTTATTGTAGTTTTCACTAAATTAAATATTTTTAATGAATAAAATATAATGTTTGGATTTGGAATTTTAAATAGATGGATGGCTTAGTACATAAGTGTAACGTATAGTTATCAATAATTAAAATAGAGAATACCATTTATAGTATATATTTTTCGTGCTAGTCTACACTCTAAATAAAAATTAAATGCTAGTTAAATAAACTGTCGAAAAATTTCATATTTACTCTTCCGGCTTGTAGGTGTTGAGATTCCCCATTCATTGAGATTCTTGTTGGTTAACTTGGTAACTCTTGGTTAACTAGAGCATCTGGGCACTATGCACAGAAGACTATGATAAATACTAAAAATACTTTTTTCCTCAAATTTATTTACTAAAGACATTTATATAAATGACAGATGTGTTCCAAAGGAATCCAAATATAAACCATTGATTCACCAACATCCACTTTGTGGGAGCAAAAACGATTTTTATCACCTTATTCATGATAATATGTCAAGTGGATTTGGGAAAAAATTATGTGTGTGTCATTTTACAGGGGCTCCCAGATGAACTTGTGCAACGGTGGTACCGGAGCGGCCATGACTGGGCTGGTGCCTAAGGTCCCTAACGACTGCGGAGACCAGAAGAAGCCCATGGCATCCCTCACCCACCTGCCGAAGAGGCCGCCCGTCGACATAGAGTTTTCGGACCTCTCGTACTCCGTCAGCGAGGGGAGGAAGCGAGGGTACAAGGCGCTGCTTAAGTGCATCAACGGAACCTTCAGGTCGGGCGAGCTGACCGCCATAATGGGACCCTCGGGCGCCGGGAAGAGCACCCTCATGAACATCCTGGCGGGATACAAGTAAGTAAAGACATTTAAAGACCTTTATGACCTGACGGTTCACCTGATGTTAAGCGATAACCACCGCCCATTTACATTTAAATAAATAGCTCTGGGCGCCAAGTAACTCACCCACCAGCCGAAACGCAGAAGTATACAGCGTGTCTTTACAATCGCGACAATAAATGAACACACGTCTAACGCAACTTGCCAATAATCATAAAAAAATATTAACGTTAAAATAATAATTTTCTAACAAACTAATTAAGTAAAAAAGAAACAAAATCTGTAAAATCCTATACAACTACAACGGACTGATTCATATATTCAGAGACTTTTTCATACGTTGCCACAGCGTCGCATTACAGGCCTCTCCTTCTAACAGTATGTTTTGTCCCTTTCAAATTCATTCAACCCATTTATATGCTTTGTGACCTTTACAAATGAACTTTACGTTACAGTTTTATACGTATGGATGTTCTAAAATTCGTTGTTTTGGAAAATGTAATAACTCGGTAAATATATTGATGTTTAAAGAATGTAAATGTTTAATACAATTTTAAAAATTTATCCTCTATATGTGTATACATTTATTGTCGCAATAGTAAAGACACGCTGTATATACCACTTACACTTCACGCCGGTCTTCTTTGGGGTCGTGGTACTGCTCCGGACGGACCTGACCATTCGCAACAAAGAATGTTACGTGGCCCAATCACAGTATTATAAATAGTCTAGGTAATAAATCATGTATTCGTCATTCGTCCTTCTTTAAGAAACCTTTTACAGCGACAGCTGTGGGTTTGTGGAAGTCTTAGCCTCCTCATATTCGAAAAGCCAAGTCAATCTTCTTCCTTTTAAAAACCCAGTAAAAGCTCATTATTTGGAACTGTGAACTCATGCTTTCCTTTCTCTTTATAAATCTTTGCCTATTTCATTGTTGTCTGAAAGAGATAAGACCGCCTTTTATACTTCCTTTTACACTAATTTGTAATTTGCTTTTTATTTTATTTTTTTGGTGTACAAAAAAGTATAAATAAATAAATAATAACGACATTAACATAACTTAGACGTGTTTCCCTATGGTCTCGATGTCACAAACCGTAATTTCCCGCTTCCTGCAGTCTCTAAGCGTAACGCGCTGCGAATTATAATTACAAGGTCGATTGTTATCTATTATAATTATCATAATCGTTACAATCGCTTGCCTATTCGCGTATCAGAAATACGAGATTTGTACATATAATTATGATACAAAACATTTAATATTTAAGCCATCTGTGAATGTTACTACAGCGTACTATAGATCTTATAGTAGGTATATATTGTAGATGAGAGATTTCTTAAAAGGAACGCCTAGCTCGTACATGCACATAATAGTTCAAAATTTCTTTAAATTGACGTAATATAAAAAACATTCGAACTATATAGTCTAAGAGCTAGCGACGTTTTCGCGGGAGAATTTAAGATAGGCCAGTTTTTAGATATGCTATCTCTCTCACTATCACTGTCTTACGGGCTAGAGGTTGCGTTCATCAGTGCGCATCGTACCTGTAAAATATCAATTTTCTTTTACTATATATATATATGCCGGTTTATATTTTTATTTTTTTATGTGAAAAGTTGCCAAGCGAGCGGGTGGTTCACCTGATGTTAAGTGAATACCGCCGCCCATGGACATCTGCTACTCCCGAGGGTTACAGATGCGTTGACAACCCTTTGAAGATTGGGCTCCGGCTACCTCACTCACCAGACGAAACGCGAAAGTATTTGTTATACTTCCACTTTATGCCGGTCTTCTGTGAGGTCGTGGTACCTACCCGGATGAGCCTGCCCATTCGTGCAACAGCCGAGGCTGCTGCGTGGCCCTACCACAGAAAGCATATCTAAAAACTGGTCTACCTGATACAGAAAATATTTGTTTTGACATCGTTCGTACTAATAGGAAACATTTGGAGAAAACTATCATGTCTTTTCTTGAACGGTAAGAATCCTTAAATTTATTTGTACTGTGGCAAAGCCACGCACTTGTCACGTAATGCGAAAGTATCCGAACTTTTGAATTTCGTTTGGTGAGAGAAGTAGTAAGGTAACCGAAGCTCACCTTTCAATGGTTCGTTGATACCAGGTGATGATTATACTCGCTTGCACAAAAATAAAACAAAATCGTAATGTTGCGACGCGAATTATTGGTAGCGGTGGTAAAAATATTTAGTAAAAGCTTACAAAAGCCCTAAAGTAAGTTTAATACTAATTACTTAAGACATTAACGCCCGGTTTCTGAAACATTGATAATCACCGATGTCAACTAATCTGTCAAATTTCATTTTAGTTGCCAAAAAGTTGGTAAAACTCTTTGAATTGATCATTCTCGAGTTTATTCATCCTTTTGGCAAGTAAAATGAAATTTGAAAAGCCATTTGACAGCTGATTAGTTGACATCTACGATGACCAGTGTTTCAGAAACCGGGCGTAAGGGGTGTGTCCAATCGGTCCGAAGTTAAGATGACGAAAGGCGCCGCGCTTTGCCGGTGGTCGATTATATTGATGGAAGCACCGGTCATTACGCAATTGATGCATGTGCAGTACGATTGTGACTTAAGATGTAACACGTGTGTCTGTGAGTGTGTTCATAATCTATCTGTTTATCAATTCCCCATTCCCTCTACCGTGAACATTCATGAAAAAAAAAGAAAAAAAAAGAAAATTTCGTGTTGCGCAAACCAGACAAGGCCGCCCAACAAGTGACGTCTGACGATCTTATCAGTTAATCACCCATTTCGATATTTTAATATGCACGATAACATTTATCCGTGAACGCGCGAGGCCATTTTTGTTTTTTAGCCGACTTCAAAAAAGGAGGAAGTTGCCAATTCGACATTGTTTCACGTTTGTTACTAACGAACTCCGTCATTTATTATTTGTTGTTGGGCCTTGGGCCCCAGAACATTAAGGAACTCCTCAATATCAAACGGAAAATGTGTAGTGAGGGAGTTATCTGAAGTCGATTTTGTTTTTTGTTGAAAACTGAACCTATATATATAATTCTGTTTTTCCACATAATACCTACCAATCGAGCCGAGGCCCTCTTGGGCCCCCTCGAATAGGAATGTTATACGGGTATTGAGTAACAGCCCAAGCCGAGGTCCGCCCTCGGGGGCTCTTGAGCCTAGTCACTACATGGAGCCTCCGCCAAAGCGACGAAAAGAGCTTGGAGCCCGCCCAACCTGGTACTAATAGTAATAGCGACGGCCCGAGCCGAGGCTGCCTCGGGAGCCCTCGAGCTGAGTCACTCATAAACCAGGTTCAGGCTAGATGACCTCAGTACCCGGCCACCTCAAGCTCGGTGGATCTGTAAAGGCCCTCTTAAGGCCAACAGTTAACGATTTAACAAAAAAAAAAAATTTAATGCCGGTTTAAAAAATGCGTTCCTTAAAAACGAGTCAGTTGTTTATTGCAGTTAACAATTAGGGAATGTTAAAGGTCTGGATCGTTGCCAGATACGCGTGTAGTTTAACCGGAATAGATTTATTGTTGCAGGTAGGTAGTGAAATTTATCGCCTACGCTGTTTGTTGTCGTGAGATATATTGATGAATATGATAAAGAGAGAGATTATTCATGATATAGCAATGGTGGCGTTATATGTAAATAATATACAGTCTATCTTCGTTTTCTGTCTTGTTCGAATTACGTGTTCTGATGGGAAAACGTTGGTGTTTTGGTTTAATATTTCTTTTATATTACCATATGCACATACTACTCAATATTACATACCATTCTTCTTTTTCTACCATATAAGAAATCCCCATGTATTAAATTTAGACATTAAGACATTTAATCCGACACTTCATCTGCACACATATTACATTTAGTTACAATGTTTATAATTACAAAATAACAAACTAAAAAAAAAAATTATAAAAATAAAATAAGCAAATAAATTAAATAACCTAAGAGTAATTACAAAAGAAAAAAAAAATAATAAGTTAAAGTAAAACAAAGAATAAAAATAAAAGGAATTTATAAATAAGAATGTAGTGACGGAAAGGACCAACTCAGCATATGCCGCGCAGTACTGCGGCGCTGATTTTCAGTCGGCCCGAGCGTCCGTAGGCAAAGGACATTTGGCCTTCATCCATTTAAAAAACCATAAACAATAATTTTGAACCCTAAGTTATTCCAAGGTACCTGTACATAACTCCAATATTCAGCTAAATTAACAAAGTACTTGAAACCACTCTGAGGCGCAACGCCTCAATAAAAATGGCTTATTAAAGGTATCTTTCTCATTTCTCTCTGCAATGGTAAAATAGGAGACATAATAAGATAAAATGGCTCAGCACACACGTGGCCTAACATTGCTAAAATAAAAATATATAGTTGTTGAGATTTCCCCGCTGTGAGGATATTGGCCATTAGTTATTAAGTATCTGGATGTGATACCTTAAAGAGGCAGGTTGGAATACCAATAACATGTTTCGACAAACTATCTATTAAGTTCACATTTTGACACAGGGTAATAAAATAGAGGAATTCTGACTTTTGCTCTGGCAATATCCATAACTCATGGGGACTGGCGACAGAAGTGAAAACATAAAAGAATATCAAAATTAAAATTGTATGATATTTAAATCTACATGTTTTATAGGCACACTGAACGATAATTACATTATTTATATCATATCCATAACTACAATTATATTTTTGCGTATTGCTTTTTCAAAAACAGCTGATGGAAAGCATTCGGTGACGATAACTCGAGTTTCATGATTTTTTGTTCACCCAACGAACTGCTAAACGCTCATAAAGAAGTTTTCACTTCAGAAATTTGGAGTTTTTTACATATTTAAACGGTTTTATTTAGCTCGACACGTACGGAATTTATTTGTTTATTTGGGTCAAAATTATAAATTGAAATTTAAGCACCTTCCCGTTGTCAGATTGATCTGAAATTTGGTACACACATTTAATTTAGATGACAATACAATATTGTAGTTTTCAGTGCACAAAAAAAAAAAACAGAAAATAAAACCGTTTAACTTAAAAGTTTTTAAACGGTTTTATTTCATATTATTAATAATAAATGTAACGTCTTCCAGAACCTCCAACGTCACCGGATCGATACTGATAAACGGCAAGGAGAGAAATCTGAGGCGGTTCCGCAAGCTGTCCTGTTATATAATGCAGGACGATTGCCTCCTGCCCCACCTCACGATACGCGAAGCGATGTACGTCTCGGCTAACCTGAAACTGGGGAAGGACATGACGGTCGCCGCCAAGAAGATAGTCATCGACGAGATCTTAGAAATGCTGGGCCTGGTCGAGGCGGCAGACACGCGCACGATAAATCTTTCCGGCGGCCAGAAGAAGCGTCTCTCTATCGCCCTCGAGCTGGTGAACAACCCGCCGGTGATGTTCTTCGACGAGCCCACCTCGGGGCTGGACAGCTCGTCCTGTTTCCAGTGCATATCGCTGCTGAAATCGCTGGCAAGGGGCGGCAGAACGATCATCTGCACCATACACCAGCCCTCCGCGAGGCTCTTCGAAATGTTCGACTTTCTGTACACCCTGGCAGACGGCCAGTGCATATACCAGGGCAAAGTCAGCGGCTAGTGCCGTTCCTCTCATCGATGAGCCTGCACTGCCCGAGCTATCACAATCCCGCCGATTATGGTGAGTGTTAATAATGTGTTAAAATATATCATATTCTTAGAAGTAGAAACTAAAGTAGAGCCAAACTAGATACAAGTTTAATTTTAATTCTAAGTAACCGGACACGATCGTTATTAACTTGGATAGAGCTTCCGGCTGTTGAGAAAGTCCTCCAAACACCGCGAGCGCTGATCCTTTTATAGACCGTTGTAGTGTGCTACCACACTCCTATCTTCCAGCAATATATACTTCGGTTATCTGAAACATTTTATAGGGAGTTTAAAAATGTTCGTAATAGGATTATTACGCTATTCCATACTAATTAAGTTAAAAAGGCAAATTTCAAGGCCACGTATATTAATGAAATTATAAGATTCTTATTAGATGCGAGCCAAGTTTCAAGTCTGTCATGAAACCTGTCCACCGCAGTAATGGAGGTGGCGACCGGTGAGCACGGCGACTGGGTCCACAAGCTGGTGATGGCTGTGAACAGCAGGAGTTGCGGCCGCGGCCAGTCATCTTCCTCCTCATCTGCCTCATCCGTGCCGCAGAACTGCAACTTCAACAACCAAAGCAAGAGCAACGTGAAGAAAGTGGAGGCGCTTCAGATCGTGATAGGTAGGTGATTTGTTGTTTTTACCTATCTGTGATACGTTGTGTTACATTGTGTTTATAGACAGAGAATTTAGATTAGGACAGCCTTCCATCGGGTTAAATCAAGTATGGTTTTCTAAACCATGCTTTGTGTCGACTAGATTATTTGAAAATGTTATTGGAAAGATCATTATGGGGATTATTTATTCGTTATTATTTATTATTTATATCTGGTTGGGTTTGCGAATAAAAATAAACATAAATTATATAAAAATAACATTTTTACTGATACTTGTGGTAAGCGATTGAATATGTTCAATACTCTCTGAACACCAAATACGTTTCAATTCAATTTTGCGCAGTCCAATGCAGTTGCCAATTTCCAATTTTGAACTGAAACGCAATTAAAACTTAAGTGCAAGAGAGTTCATAAATGACTTCCGTTTCGCATTAACGATACAATTTCCAAACAGATATAGCTGATTCACTTTCCAATGCTTCCAGACAAACCCACCTGCACTGTGATAGACATGTCCGAACCAAATCTCAACGCGGAGAAGCAGAACGCCCTACCGAACTCCACAAACCTCGCGCCGGTGACGTGCACCACTTCGCTCCTGGACTCCAGCGAGAGCTTCAACAAGAAACCGGTGAAGGCCGGCTTCCCCACCTCCGGCTGGAAGCAGTTCTGGATCTTATTGAAGAGGACGTTCAGGAGCATTTTGCGCGATCAGATGCTGACGCATTTGAGGCTGTGCTCGCATACAGTGGTCGGCCTGCTAATCGGCTTCCTGTATTACGACATCGGACACGACGCGGCCAAAGTGATGAGCAACGCCGGCTGCATATTCTTCACTGTGATGTTCACTATGTTTACGGCTATGATGCCCACCATTCTTACATGTAAGTACATTTATGTATTTCGCTTTAGGTACGTTTTGATTTGTCAATCGTTTGTTAAGTGCTCGCTCTAAGATTCATTGAATATGTATCATAATACCAGAGTTAATATAAAATATTACGTTATGTATCAACCTTACACGAAATGTCACCTTGATGGTCGAAAGTCCGTAATGGTCTTTTTGTAATGCGTGAACATTTTTGTTGCGCAAATCATCTCTGGATCTTAGGGATATTGAAGGAGATAATCTTTTTCTTATTAAAAGTCTCGTTGAGATAGTCATTGTTGACTTTTCAAGCTCCTTCAGAATATATAACTTCTTCCATGGAAATAATAAATAGATAAAACATGAACCCAAAGGGTGTTGGCAAATGACGTTATTTCTGTAAGGCCATGTCATCAAATTGGATTCTATTCTAAAATGGATTAAGTCAGTACCTATGAAGCCACATTGATGTTCAGATGACGTAGATGTTAAGCTAATGGGTTCCTCTTCAAAGGTCGTGGGTTCAATTCAAAATGGACGGTCCACAGATAATTATTACGTACCTAGGTCCTTATGACATTTGTGTGTTAAAAACATTCTTATAACACTGCATTACATTATTTACATGGAGGTTTTAAAAAAATAGAAAGATTTCCTAGTGAGTTACAAAATTAACTAATATTGTATTTATTCCTTTCAGTCCCAACGGAGATGAGTGTGTTTGTGCGGGAGCATTTAAACTATTGGTATTCTCTGAAAGCGTTCTACTTCGCAAAGACTATGGCCGACTTGCCATTTCAGGTAAATTTCGTAATTGTCAATTATTCTACAAAATACATGGAAAATGTTTTATAATTAAACAGTGTTTACTAAGTCTTAAATCGGGATACATAAATTGGGAAATTTGTGATTACTCAATGGTAACTATTTCAATTTCAAAACTAATAAATAATAATAATAAAATATTTATTTCTCACCACAACTAATAGCTTAAAATAATATATAATATTTGTTTACACTTTTCGTTCCACTTCAAACTAGAACTAGTTAGAAAACTAGAACTAGTTAAGCTACACAAAACTATCAATAGCATGCGAAATATTCTCGCGTTTAAATTTGTTAATTCCAAGTATCAACAGCCTGTCTTGTAACTTCTGTAAATTGTCGGAAATAAATATGAATATAAAACCAATAAAATCCATTCGTTTAATTGGACTATCTATTTAAAGTCATAAGACAGGTAATATATTTTTGCATACGTTGCATACGTGAGCCGTGATAGCGTGATGTCCGGGCGCTCGCCTTTAATTCAATATACTCGAGCAACCTGAGTTCGATCCCCGGTGCCGGCACCAATGAAATTGTCAATTTTAAGTGCTGAATTATCACGTGCTCAGCGGTGAAGGAAAACATCGTGAGGAAACCTGCATATTTTCGAAATAATAACAAAAAAAAATATTTCGAAGATATGTGAAGTCCACCAATCCGCAGTGGGACCGCGTGGTGGACTATGCCCTGATACCCTCTGTATAGAGGAGGCCTTTGCCCAGCAGTGGGACATATATAGGCTGATACTTTACTTTTTTACTTTTATACGTTAGCTAAATATACCATTGTACCAATAGCAATACTGTTTAGTTTCTACTGTTTGGGTTATAATATTCATAGATTGTACCATTTACAGTTAATTCTATCGAAGTTCTAAACATCAAAATCACAGAAATTGAAGCAATTTTTACTATTTTGTGTTCAAAGGGGGCGTTAATCAAGCTGAGATGTTACTTAACCAACCAAAATATTTGATGCTACTTCCTCGTTTGTAAGCTTTTCTGATAGTAAGATATAACGATGATGATAATGATGAGGCACATTTTGAGAGATTTTTTTAAAACGCATTCTATAAGGCAAGCGCAAATCGGGTTCTATTTTCACTGGTAACAAAGCAAAATATTGACGAATATGAACCGAAAGCGATTACGAGAGGTTATTCTGTGAGAGGAGCCTTCGTATGCTGTATACCCAGCCATCTACCAATGAAAACGTTCTCAATGGAATACCCAAGTTAAAATTGGCAGAAAAATTTACGAAAAGTTTGTCGCCGCTGTGGGCATCGAACCCACATCTTCGGGATTCGCGCCCTGACGCTTTAGCCACTAAGCTAAATGGCTGATTGGAACACCGAAGAAATTCTTAACATCTCTTATCTACATTGTTTTTTGAGTTTGAAGCAATACCCAAGTTCGGGCAAATTTAAATAACTTTAACTCTGGCGTAATTCAATTAAAATAAATTTTAAACGATAGAGAGATTAGGTTAGAAGGTTTTTTTATGACCACCAAGAAATTTGGCGGATTTCTATAGTAAAATATCACACTATTTCATTATTTATTTTTTCGAAAACTATAAGCGACCGGCGAATTCTGCTTGTTGATAAATTCATTGGCGATTTTTCTCTATCGTTTAAAGTTTGTTTTAATTGAATTACGCCAGAGCTAAAGTTATTAAATTTACCAAAGTTCGTAACACCGCATTCGTTGTTTCACGCAGATCGTGTTCAGCGGCGTGTACGTGATAATCGTGTACTTCATGACCGGCCAGCCCATGCAGACTGACAGGGTGCTGATGTTCACCACGATAAACATCCTGACCGCGCTGGTGGCCCAGTCGCTGGGGCTGCTAATCGGCGCCGCGATGAAGATCGAGACGGGCGTCTACTTGGGCCCCGTCACGACCATACCGGTGGTCCTGTTCTCCGGTTTCTTCGTCAACTTCAACGCGGTGCCCAGCTACCTGCAGTGGCTGACGTATCTGAGCTACGTGCGGTACGGCTTCGAAGGCGCCATGCTCTCCGTGTACGGCTTCGGGAGGGAGAAGCTGCACTGCTCCGTCGCCTACTGCCACTTCAGGAACCCGGACATGTTCCTCAAGGAGATGACGATGGACCAGGCCAACTTCTGGGTGGACGTGGGCGCGCTGAGCGCCTTCTTCGTCTTCATCAGAGTCATCTCCTATCTAGTGCTGAGGTTTAAATTGAAGATGATGCAGTAGAAGGCGGTGAGCACGAACGCTTCGCGCATCGGTGATATGAACTGTTTCCATTGTAAACACGTTACGGTTGATGCACGGCTATGTGTGACTGAGAAGGGCGTGGCAGGCTTCGTATGTTCTCGTGTCGCTGACGTGTCCGCGAGTGTACCTAGGCGGTTAGCTGGACGTAGGACTAAAGATAGTTTTCGAAATACATAGCTTTATAGGGCGCAATAGTTTGTTTATACTTACACATAGTTATAGTCGGTAAGTTTTTATAGATAATCGGGCCCATGACTTAATCTTTAAGTTACTTAATCGGAATGATATTAATTTGATTTGTATTTATAGTCACGCGGAAGTTTCTACTTATCTACGGTTTGTTGCTATGACACCTGTCAGAATAATGTCTCTAATGTTTCAATTGAATGAAGTATGCTTGTGATTGACGTGTGTTTGACAGGTGCCGTGTGTTCCCGACAAACGGTAGTGTTTATTACTCAATTCGTCATTACATTCTAGATTTTAATTAGATTCTTGAATTACCTTACATTACGCTAAAGGTTTTTTGGTAAATCTCTATGTCTATCCTAATTACCAGTATTTATTAATTATTAATAAACGACTGTGATTTTTACTGATGTGTTGTTTCTTCATTGATACTAACCCTATTTTAAATCGAGAAAGATGTCTACGTCAGCAAAGCGGACTGTAATTCGTGAAAACATAGCCTTTCCTCACAAGGTCATGCTCTGTACCCGATTTAGCTGTATATAGTCTACAGAATACAAGCAGAAACGTCAGTGAAACAAATTGGGTTCGAAAAGGCCTTACTAGATGTGTGTCGGGCTTCAATAAGTTTTAACAAAAAAAACCGACGTCAAACAGGAAATTAAACGAATGTTAATACGTATAACATTTAAGGATTTTCCTCGATTTTACTGGGATGCCATCATCAGATCCGGGTTTCCTTATCATGGTACCACCCTTGGAATATCTCCTTTCCAACAAAAAAAGAACCAACAAAATCGGTACGACGAAGTAGTCCGCGAACACACGTAAAAAAAATAAAGATATGTACGGTCCAATTGAGAAACTTCCTTCTTTTTTGTAGTCGGTTAAAAAGTACTTAAAACGAGAGTGACGCAAAAAGATGATGATAGAGGGTTCTTTGTCCGATTGTATTAATAGTTTAAATGTAAAACCTATTAATTAGTTTGACACTTAAAAAGTTTATAGTTTGATAAAGATCTACAATATTTGGTTTAAGAGTAAGTAATATTCTGAATATTCTAAAGACATGTTTTGTAAGGTACTATAAACATTACGTGAAGTAGTTTGCTTATTCATATGAAAATTATTACTAGTGACATCTAGCCAACTTTTCCTTAACTATTGCAATATTGAGATTCGAAAACATAAACAACTTAAACTCTTCTCTAAAAGATGGCGCTGTAACACTAAACAGAATTTTTATAACAATTTTCATTTTTTATAGTTGTTTTAGTTTTATTAATAAATTATAACAATTTAATAGTTTTTTTTAACAAATTCTTTGTAATAAAGAAATATTAGATACAATTTACTTTCTTACAGAAGTAAATATGTTTTGGCTCTTAACGCAATTACACTTTCATCGTATGTAATAGAAATAAAGAAGACATCTCTGCGTATAAAGTGTCCTTCAAAAGGCGAAAATCGTAGCACTAAAATGTGTAGAACATGGCTTTCAACACACACATTTTGTTTCAACTTATATGCAGTGCATAATCACTATTAAAATTTGAATTGCACTAAAATTCACAGCAATATATTAAATAATCGTAGACTTGCTAAGCACTATTCTGGAGTTTCTTTGAACCGTCATATGCCTTCTTTTTAACTTATCCTGCATATAACTTGGTCTTTCTTATCCATACACTCCATATGTTGTAGTTATAGCGTCTGGGACACCGTTATTTGCACTACTATGGCGTCACAAAGTGTTAAGATAAAATGTTGAAGTGAAAGCGAGTAGCTAAAAAAACATGAAGAAGACAGCAAAGTGTACACAGATGAAAATATTTCTTATTTAACCTCAGTAAAGATAACTACAAAATTATTGTATGAATTTTAACGCTATTTGTTTCGGTTCGCGTTATTTCAACACAGAATCCATATTTTCTACATCAAGTGACCTTAACATCTTTTGGAATACATTTCCAGTGGATGAGAAAGACGGAAGGTGACTTAACTGTTCGTCGGGAAGTCTAACAGCGGATTTAATAAAATGGACATTATGGTGTATGCATTAGTGTGCGTTCATGAGACGATTTCACTTCTTGTAGCTCTGAAGTACTCCTATTTCTAAGTTTTTCCAAAACATTGTTTATACACGACCTTTAACCAGCTGTTCGAAAGGCTCACTAGGGTTTTTGAGCTTATATATCCCTGCTACTAGACCACACAGACTTAGCGTAATTCTACTTAGCCCTAGATTATAAAAGTGTTATCATCAAGTGTCATGTTCATAATCTGAGTGTATTCTCGTGTGAATATGAAGACGTGTACAATCGAAATTGCGCGTTTCTTTTTAAAAAGATTGGGGCTTCCCCTATATAATGCTGTTTGATGATGTTTTTGCTATCAGTTCTTAGACTACTAAAGCTTTATCAAGCGCACAGCTCGTGAGATAGCCAGAACCCACCGGCTTGGCAACAGTCCTTCGCGTTAGGTAGAACCATGCATATTTACATGCATTCGTGTCTACGAATGTCATTATCATGTCTGTCATAGAGCAGAGTAGTCATTTCTAATCTCAAAGACGAATGTTCTTCGCTGTTTTTGTGCTATTTTATCATCATATAACAGGCATAAATAGATGGTAGTATATAGTATGTGCGCTGACTTGCAACTGGCACAAAGACAACCATAGCGATAAAGTGCTAACGTAATAGAAATGGCGAATTCCGCTGAAACAGGTACGAGCTTTTATTACACAGTTGAGATAAACGCTCCCTCGGGCGAGCGTCGCTTTATGGCGAATAAACTACGCCGGAGGCACTATAAAGTACAGGACAACTGGAAACATTCCAGGATCGATCAGGGATGTACGTTGATTTTGGCAGTTTTACGCATCGCCACTTGTCTACGATATTGAATTCCTACTTTTCTATATACAGAAACATTATTCTGAATTTATTTGCGTTTTAGAGGTTCTTAAGTCATTATATTGCACGATTAAATAATTAACTTGACAATGATTATTGATGATAATGATTGAAGATGATGATAACATTGTTTCTAATTATTTTGTTTATTTTATTTTCCAAAATATATAATTTTGGAAAACAGGAAGTGAATTTTACTAGAACATATAAAGTAAAATCCACAAGAACACTTAGAAGGTCCGAGTGCTTAAAGCTATACACTGAAAATTCTGATGGTTCACCCAAAAGTACTGCCCAAAGCAGCACCACTCGCCGGAAAAGGCGGTAGTGGGGGCAGGAGGAATTTTTATTATTTACTGACCCTCGCTAGAGAAAACTAAACCACGTGAATTAACATTTTCTTACACTTGCGGAAAATTCTGCATGGATGTAAATAGAAAAAAAATCCCCATTAAAAGCGAACCTCAGAAGTTCTTTAAAGGAGCTTCATCATCCTCCCGCCCTTATCCCACCTAGATGGGGTCGGCACGACATGTGAATTATGTTGTAAGCGGTTTTCGCTATATTTTACCGACCGGCCTTCTGCCTTACGTCAATCTTCCTTAGGAAACAAACCTCCGGATCAGGGGAAATTATCTGTGGACACAGAAACGCTTTTCCCGCGTGGGATTCGAACCCACGACCCGCGACGCCGAAGACAATAGCTTGGCAACGGCACCATCAAAAGACTCGCGAGCTAATAGTAAACGTAACATGTAGTTAATGGTATTTCCACGGTTGGGCCACGCAACAACAAAAGTTGTGAACAATAGAAGGGGAGGGTAGTCCGGGGCTGTCTCACCGAAGACCAGTGTAAGGTTAAAAAAAGTATAATAAAAGCATAATATATACGAAAAAGTATAATACATCCTGTATTACACGTTTGCGTTTCGTCTAGTGAGTGGGACAAACGGAACCCCATTTTTAAAGGTTATCAATTCTTTTCCTGCCCTCGCCTGTGAAGAACCAATTCGCTTGACTACTTTTCACATAAAAAAAACTGTGTGTCGAACTCGTACGCTAAAGGTTCCGTACCTACCCATTATACCGTCATAATAAAATTGGTAAATAAACAAAACCAATTTTCTCAGGAACAAGACAGCAGGTTGAAGTTGAAATTTGTACCAGACTAGCGACCCGCCCCGGCTTCGCGCGGGTGTAATGTATTATACACATAAATCTTCCTCTTGAATCACTCTATCTAGTAAAACCAACCGCACCAAAATCCGTCGCGCAGTTTTAAAGATCTAAGCATACATAGGGACAGACAGACAGCGGGACGACTTTATTTTATACTATGTAGTGATACTGAGGTCTATAATCCCTAATAGGTGTATAAAAATCGAGGTCCTGAGTCAACACGATAAAAAGATAAAGGCAAATTTAGATTTTCGCAGAAACTTTTAGGTACCAAAACTTACTTTAATTTTCATTTTTTTTTATTTTTCGGAATCTTTCCTTTATTTGGGCTGTAAGACCTTGATTTTTGCCAATTTTCGTCATTCTAGATCAACGGGAACTACCAGATAGGATTTCGACCCAAAACCTATAAGGAATGAAACGACCGAAAATGTATTGGAGGTTTATTAGATTTCGTCTTGGTTGACGCGAGCGATGTTTCCCATCTAGGTGTTTATATTCCTGAAATATATATTTTTTATATATAATTTGAAACATCTCCATCATATGGAGATGTTTTAAATTATTATTCTACCCTGTAGAATCTACAGGGTACTAGTAGATACATGTTTCACAAAACTTTTCCTATATTCGTATATTTGTTTATATAGCATGTAGATTGATACTATTAGGTACATATATGCTTGATAC